CAGCAGCTTTGTGCCCCGCCAGCTTCTTGTTCCATGCCTACCATGGTGTTTTTGTACAGACAGCACTTCAGACAGCAAGTATGCTGTAGTCGGCAATCATTCGTTTTGGTACAGAGTGGGACAGGTAGGGGGTGATGTTGCTGTAGTCGAACGGTGAGACGGACGTGTAGTTCAGTTTTGGGCACGCGTACGGTGCTGCAGGGATTATATATAGGTGTAGTAGTACCTCTTCGGGCTCTTGGATACCTTTTTCTTGCTACGTGTGCGTGTTCTTTAGATCCTCAGATGGCTCTAGCACTTTCGTGACCACGGACTGAGAGTCTTTGCAAGATTTTGGCATTCAGCAACTGGCATACGGTTTTTAATGTGAAGTCAACAACAACAACAACAACACAGGAGATAGCGGAGGAAAATACCGCCACCTGTATCTGTAACAGATTCTGAATTTTGCAGCAGGAAGCGGCGGATTTCATACACTCAGCGCATATATCTCACCCTGAGACCATTCCATCAAATCGCAGGCGGGAAGGACTACTAACTTGGAGTCGAGACCAGAGAGAGAGTACGAAAGCGGTCGGCTGAAAACAGTTGTCCGTTGAACAACTGCCAACCACCAGACAAAGAGTTCCATCTTCACGAGTGTTTGTGCAACAAAACAAAACATACAAGCATTTTGTCGATACAACTGCAGCACATACTGGTTCCCTTTCCTTGCACGTTTGGATCAATATGATGGTGTGTGTCTTCTCTTAACTCCAGAAAGCTGGGCAATCGGAGAAGCCCACAGGCTAACAAGTCTCCGTGAGACATGCCACCCTCCCACCTAAAGCTAGCTGCACGTCTTGTCAACAGGACTGAGTCAATATGTCAGCTTCTTTCCGGAGAATGCGTCATCTGTCCGCTGAGCCTGAAACCAACAGCAGTGTCGTCTATTCTGGTGTGTGTCCTTGGGGCGGGAACCAGATGATGTATCAAGTCTGCCGCTACGTCACACTCGGAAAACACTATGCCATGCCATATCACTCGGTTCCCAAAGCTCGCCATCAGCCCTCGCAGGGAAGTAGCTCATGGACAAATATATATATATATATCTGTCCACAGATTCTACGGCAATATATATATATATATATATGGCAGTCAGCCAGGGAGTCTCCCTGACAAGCGCGGGAAAAGACGAAAGTTCCATTGCACGGCAAAAGGGACCAGCATTCACTCCTTGGTCATGGCATTCCTTGCCATCGCATCGCTTGCAGTGTCTACCTCCCAATAACTACCGTCCCGTTTTCTACAAAAGACGGTCCATCCGGGGCCACGTGAATATATTTTTTCAAGAAGAGGAGAAGGCGCTCGGAGGTACGAAGGAGAGGAGAGTTCGACTCGGAAGCGGGTAACACGTTTATCTCTGTCATGGAAAATACTTGGACCCCCTGACCATCATCGGGCTAAACTCACGTATTAGGTCGAGCAAGACCAACCAACCGCCGATCTCGAACCGACGATCATGCCAAAAATTAGGGAAATGTAGATAAATCTCCAAAAGGCAGTCATCACTGAACTCTCGAACACCCTACTAAGGCGGCAACACATATCCCGTGAAAATCGGGACGCCGAGCAGGGAGACCGAGCAACCTGTTGCTACGAAACGCCTTTCGCGGACGATTCGACCTTCTTCTGTAGCAGGGCGATGCTCTCCTTCAGCTCCTGAGACGTAGAGGTTTGGGTAGTACAAAGGAACAATAGAAAGTTCGTGCGCGAAAGAAAGGCATGAGTCAGAAAACACGGGGGGGTGTTGGGTGAATAAGCGTCGGGATACCAAAGCGTGTGAAGATCCAACTGTGCAAACATTTTTGAGGATGACCTAAATATCGATCGCTTGATCCACCAGAGAGAGAAAATGAGACCCGCAGTGCAATATAAGCTTGCGGTTATCGAGCCGATCGCGGCCATGGACATATGCGCCTTCGAACTCTCAAGCTGGCGTCTTCATGTAGTAGTCGTCTCGACTGGCGCAGGTCGACAACTGTGGCAAGCATGGCTCCATTCCCCTCGTCTCGTATGCTAACCAGCCGACGTGCCTATATCCACCAACCCCTAACGTCACACCACAGAGTCCTGACGAAGAAAACTCCTCACATATATATCGCACGCTGCCAATGGAGCATCAGTAGCAGCAACAACCCCCGCTCCAGACAGAAGCGGTGCCGTTCCTCCTTGGTGTGACGGGGAAACCTCCGTCGCGTCGACAGGTGCCGATGCACGACGGCGGAGAAGCCTTTCCTTGAGCTTTGCGTCCTTGGCAGCCAGCGCCCGCCTTAGCTTGGCGGCCTCCCTCTCTCGCTCGTCCAGGATGACCATCATCTCCCTAGCCCTGGCTTCTGCCATGGAAGCCGCGAGGGAGAGAGCCGCGCGCTCGCTTTCTGCCGACGAGGCCTCCCGGGCACCCTTGTCATTGGCCAGGCGATTGGGTGACGAGAAGCTAGAGCGTCAAGTAACAGGCGCGTTGCGATATGGAAACAAGTAGATATCTTGGCTGGTGATTGGAAGGCTGCCCTTCGAGATTCTATATTATTCCGTCCACACGCTTGAAAGAGCCGATTCTGTCTTCCCCGACCTTTTTCTATGCCCGCGTCACTTCGTCCGCCATGAAAATAGCAGACTTGCGCGTTCGCGACTGAAAGTATCGGTTGTTGTGCCTTCCAGCCCGGGCACCCGCTTCACACACGAGTTTGTAGGCTGTGTTCGTCGGCGTCCTTTTTCTACCCACCCCTTTTCATCCCGGCATATCAACATATATATGGGTAGTATTTCTGTGACTGTATGTATGTTTTCCAATAACCATCTCATCTTGTGTGAATTTTTAAGCATCATGCCGCGTTGAGACCAGAGAGAGAGAGAGAGCTGGCGATGCGCGAGTGGTTTCCTGATTCCCGCGAGGCTTCCTCCCCGGTATGTTGGGCCGACCCCTCATTTACAAATTAACAGTCCCCGTAAGAAGTGTCCTTCCCTTGCACACACCTTCGGGTCACGAACAACGCCCCAACGTCGAAGCATCCACAACTGAAAACTCGAGTCGTCCCCGCTTCAAGGCCACCATTATTTCAAGGCGCATGGTGTCGCGCAGAATGCAAAGCCTATTGACGGGACTCATCCCAGCGAAATGGACCCGTCTTCAAAAGAAAATCGCGGATGTCCGCAAAGCGGATAGTCTTGTCGGCAAAGATCGGAAGTTATTGCGGTCGCTTCACGCTCCTTTTCTTCGTGGGCTCATCCGGCCGGACCCCGTTCTCTCGACGCAGTCCGGTCAAAGGCATGAACCCCAATATTCGAAGAATCTGTTGGATCACATCATTCACACACCAAATGGTAGGCTGGACGGCGGTACCTTCATGGCTTCTTCTGTTGGATTACATCATTCACACACCAAATGGTAGGCTGGACGGCGGTACCTTCATGGCTTCTTCTGTTGGATTACATCATTCACACACCAAATGGTAGGCTGGACGGCGGTACCTTCATGGCTTCTTCCTCAGCCTTCCTCGTGAGTTCGTCCACCCTCTCCAGCAGCTTTGCCGCTGATGCTTGCATTCGACGCCTGTCCGCCTCTGCGTCCTCGACCCGCGCTTGTCCTCGCTCGACCGCTTCCCGGTACCGCCTTGCTGCCTCTAGAGCACCCTTCGGGGACGCAAAAAAAACATCAGGTGGATAATTCGAACTCCCGGAATATGGACGGCGGCGTGCAGTAGAGCTGTCCATAGCACCCTAGAGGACGGGCTTGTGAGATAGGAGGGGTCCACGCGGAAGGTGAATGCTTTGATGCAGCGTGGAATACACAGGAAGTGGGACATCGCGAAAATATCATTTTTCTTGCCAGTCCTTGCCTCCGCGGGAGCACCAACCAATCGCGAATGCGAGGACGACATGGGATGGGATAGGCACACGGTGAATCACACCACGGTAGTCAAAGCTAGGAGCATGCTACGTGATCGGTTTCAATGCACATGCGGGTTGGCGTACCGCTAGAGTCGGGTTGAACGTTTTACAGTGTAGGCTGCATAGTGCGAAGGGATTTGACTGGCATTACACCGGGCACCGTCATTGCATGCCACAACTTGAATATTTCACCTGGTCTACTGGATTTCACACATCTATAGGGCGACCGGCCATACTCATGCGGCCTGATACAGGGACAACTACTGTACACGTAAACGGCTGCCGATTGGTGCGGGCGTGGTACATACAGAACCAATCGATTATCGTACCGCCACCACCGGATTGAAAAGAGCTTGAAGTTTCGTTTCTCGTGGGACAATAAAACCTCTGTCCATGCCTCGCCGGATTGCAAAAAAGCTGAGGCGAGGGGAAACACACCTACCGTTCTTACCCGCTTTCAAAACAAACTAGTTTATCGACAGAGCTATCCGGTATGTTCTACCGATAGGGGGGAGAAGCGACGTGGGGGGGGGAAAGAAACAGAACTGGCCGAAGTGTGTGCACGACGACCTGAAGGCATTCGGGGCCGACCACGGATCTACGAAAACCGATCCATGTTGTCTCGGAATCCCGGTGCCGAAAGACACGGTACCGAAGTTAAAGTGGACGGAAGCCGCGAAGGTGGAGGGGGGATTACCCTGGCATGCGGCGGTGCTGCAGGGAGCTGAGAGGTTCATGACCTCCTGGCACAAGAAGGAAGAGGAGGCCAGCCGACAACGGGCGCTCAAACGAGACCACAAGCCAACAACCAATGGGGCGGGAGGGGGGCAGGAGACGGACGAAACGGCGAGGGAAGAAAGCAAACGAGAAGAGACGGACCGAGTGGCGCGATATGTGCCAGATTGAACTTCTTTTGTCCAATTCCCCCCCCCCAACGCTGCACCTTTTGCACCAACGCCCCACTAGTGATGACGTACCATTGTAATGTATCGCTGGTTGGTGGCCATGTTTGCGTGTTTGCATGTTCGGTAGTGGTCTCTTCACCGTGTGCCTTTTTCTATCTCTTATTTCTTGTTACGGCTTGGTCCCTTTTTGTCCTCGCTCTTTTTTGTTTTCTTTTCTCTTTCCTTTCTGCTTCCTTTATTTTTCCTCTTTTTCTCTCTCTTTCTCTCTCTTTTCTCTCTTTTTCTGTGTCAGATGGCCTTGTCTCGGCTTGCGTTGTGAAGTACCAGGATTGAACCAAGAGGGTGTACCTCTTTCTCTCTGGGCCGTGATCCTGACTCTTAGTTTCAGTTGTTACCTCGCATTGCGCGCAGAGGGAGCGGAGCACTCCAGAATTTCTGTCGTTGGTTTCTATTGACTTTCGGACCCCCTCGGGGCTAGCTTATTTGAGTGTACCTTTTTAGGGTAAGTTAGCCTGTGACCACGGGAATCGACCGCGTCAAGTATTGGATCAGTGCGGACATATGGAGGTACTGGGTAGAGAAAAATCGGAACGGTTTTCAATGTGAAAACAACAACAACAACAACAACAACAACAACAACAACAACAACAACAACAACCTGGCCAAAAAGATAAAAACACCCCAAAACGAATGTGGAGTAGAAACGGCATCATCAATATACACTAAACTACCACAATACTCCGAGGGGGCCAGCATCCCCCACCTCTAAGGCCGCCTGGTCAGCCTCCTCCTGGCCGAGAAGCTTTCCGCGGGCTTCCGCCGCCGCCCGCTCTCGACGTTCGGCCGCCTTCGCCGCCGCCGCCCTTTGGCGAGCTTCGGCGGAAACGAGCACACGGGCGGCGGCGGTCTGACGAGCAGGCCGCCTCGTGCCCTGTCGGCCGTCCTGCGAGTCCTCGGCACAGCAGGCAGTGGTGGTTCCGCATGAAGCCGTACACTAGTACACTAGTACACTAGTACTAGTGCACTAGTACACTAGTACACTAGTGCACTAGTACACTAGTACACTAGTACTAGTACACTAGTACACTAGTACCAGGGGTTTGGCCGGCCCTATCGTGCACTCGACACTATCCGTATTCCTAACCCTACGTGTGAGACAAGTTGAATACTATTTCCATCTGTGTCACGTGACTTCAACGGTCTGAGAACCTTCCTCTACCTGCCTTCTTTGCTTGCCACCCTCAACAGTTTTGCTTTTCATTGCCAACAGTCTTGGTTTGCCTCAGCAGTCTTGCTTTATTATGCCAATTGCCTGGGCTTGCCACCTCAAAAGTCTAGCTCGCCACGTCAACAGCCTTGCTTACCACTGCAGCACGAGTCTTGCTTGCCACATCAACAGGAGTCTTACCGCGTCAACAGCGGTCTTGCTTACCACTGCAACAGGAGTCTTGCTTACAACGTCAACAGAAGGCTTGCTCGCCTTCGTGGTCATGGAGGCGTGGACGGTGTCGAAACGAGCGGCAGGGCCAAGGCGAGATTTGACGGCCGCGGCCGCTGCAGACGCTTCCGCCAAAGACCTCCTGGAAGCCTCGAGAGCTGATCCAGACCCATCGATGCATGTGAGCAAAATGGCATCGCAAAAGAAGCCGGTATCAAAGTGTCATTAACGACCGTGCTCCAAGAGTCGACCCTTCAATACAGACGGCAGTTCGGCGTTATGGAAGCAGCGGGCAGCTGGCTTCGACGCGATCGTCACGAGCATACACTGTTGGTGGCCTCGGCCACGACCGAGCGTAGAGAATAAAAACAGACATGGTCAGAGATGCAAAACTCGGAATGTTAGTCAACCTCTGAGTCATTTTCACACCATAAAACACCGTTTCATTCGAAAAAAATGCGGTGGTGGATCTCTTTTTAAAAAATCACGACTCAGCGATGTTCAAACTCCGCCATCTCCGTCACTTGCGTCTGTCGCTCTGCACCCAATGCGGGCACGAGCTTTGTTTGTGAACCTCTACTGTTTTCGGCATCTTGCAGAACAACCTTGGCACCAACCTTTGTGCCGACAAGCGTCGAAAAAAAGCACCGCGAGCCCCCAAAAAGCGGTCAGGAAGAAAAGTCAACCAACACATCACGAAATGATTCGAATTGGCATCCTTCCCACAAACTATTTAACCATGTCCTTATTGCGGCAGATTAACTTGTGGTAGACAAAGACTTCCTTGTCGAATCGACTATCATACGTAGGGCGGCCAAGGTAAGCCTGCATTTATGTGCGAGGTGTGTATCCGGTCGTCCTGTCCTGTAATTCGCCCATCCTACTAAATAGTGCAATGGACGAGTGCACGCGAGTGGTGAGTCAGCCCTGCCGACCTTCTTCCTGCTCTAGCACCATAATCTTGGTTCGCTGCAGCTCAGTCTCCACGGCAACGGCTTCCTTCTGTAGCGCGGCGGAGTCTTGATGCACCTAGACCCCCACAAAAAAAAGAAACACCAAAAAACAAACAAAATCGTCGGAAACAGACATAGCGGGTCCAAGCTGGATGAGGATGAAGGCAGGGTAGACAGGCAATCGTGACGAGCGCCCCGTACGCGCTCCGAGGGAGGTCCTCCCGCGGACGGTCGCTCGCGAGCACGTGCGGGCAAAAAAACACATCGCCCTCGTCGCAGCAAAGCGGAAACGCGAAAACGGCAGCGGGCAGTGCACCGTCCAGAGAATGTTCGCGACGGTACTCCGGATGTGCCCATCCCTGCAGTAGTCCTATCGTGAAAGGTGTTGCCGAGAGCCGAACTGTTCGGCATACTTTCTGCCTGGAGTAGGGACGCTGCTCTCCCTCCCACAGGGATTCATTGGTCGCGTGGCTGCGTTTCAACGGCTACTTGTGGCGAGGAAGGAGAAATGGGAGGGCGCACCCCCGAACCTGCGCGCACCTGCTCCAGCTGTTCCGCGAGGTCTCGATCTCGCTTTGCTCGGCGCCGCGCTTCGACTTCGCGTGTCCTGGACAAGGCCGTTGGAGGGGACGAGACGGTTAGCAGCTGGAGGTAGCAGCAGCGCCAGCAGCACAAGCAGCGGCGCCGGTGGAAGCGGCTGAGAAACACACAGCCCGCAGAAACGAGCAAGAACCCGCCTCAACACGGAGGCAAGCTCTGTGTGCAAGAGTCCCAACACGGGCGAGAAATGTGGTGCAAATTATTTCGTTTCATTACGCCCGCCCTTGGTTGCTACAACCCTCCGCAGTTGCAGAAACAAGAAAGTATCGCAAGCAACGGCGACGACAAAAAAAAAATCTCTTCCAAGACCGCAACAAGCACCACCACCTTCAACACGTTACACAACAAACCCACCACCACAGAATGCCCAAAACGACCAAGAGAAAACCTCCACTCACGTCATAAAAAAAAAAATCTCCTCACCGAATCCCTTCTGCCTGCCGCCGCAGCCAACCACCGACCCACCACCTCCACGCCGCCCCAAGTGCTTCCCTCTCTCGCCGCCGTCTTGCCGCCGGTGCAGCCGCCGTCGCCGCCGCTATTGCCGCCGGACCGCTACTGCCGGCGCCCGCTAGCCTAGCCATCGCAGACCCGAGGAGGCCCAACCGCCGGGAGACAAGAGCATTCTGGAGTGCGCTGCACGCGGATTTTTGTCGCCTAGAAATGGCGCACCCCTGCCTTGTACGAGTAACGTAAACAAGGGGGGGTGAGTGACGCTTGGCGATCAAGAGTTATTTTCTGAAAGGAGCAGAACGGGTCGTGTAGCCATACATATGCGAGAGAAGGAACTGAGGATCTCGACGAGGCTGCCAAACACGGGCTTGTCGAAGGTAGCAAGTGAGTTTAAGGCTGGGGCGCGATGGTCGTGATTCCGTGTAGAGTATTTTCACGTGACATCACTTTGGAACACCGAAGCGTGGCCGCCTCGCTGACACGCACCTGCCGTAGCGCCACGAACGATCTCCTCAAAACGTTCTTCCGATCAACCCTCCTCTGGCGCGCTGCCACCACAGCAAAACGCTTCAGCTTCTTCACGGCTCCCGCCAGCCTCTTCCGCCTCCACACAACCTCAGCCTCCTCCATGCTCTCCGTCGCTCGGCCCCTCGCCCTCGCGGCCCCACACCACCTCAGAAGCCCTATTCGTGCCGCCCGCACGCTGACCACAACGCCTCCTTTCCCCCCACCCCCGGGGACGCAGAACCATCGGCCCCTCCCCACCCTGATTTGCCGCGAACCCTGGTGCAGCAGCGCCAGAAAACCTCTCGACAAGGCGGCCCGCCTCCGGTGCGCGCTTGCCACGGCTTCCAAGTCATGGGTTTCAAGTCCTCCCTCCCGGACACATCTTCGACCCCGGCTTCCCCCTCCCCAGTGCGCCAGGGACAACTCTGCCGGCAAAGGCGCCGTCGATCCTCGTCTTACCTCCCCTTCAACCCCGGTGCGCGGCCTGTGCCACCGGCTGTTCGAAAACGTCTGCGACGCCCACATAACCCCACCCTCCCTTCCCGCAAAGGAGGCCAAGACTTCCAGCCCGCGGCGCAGTGCTCGTCGACGTCGCCAGCGGCGGGCCCGAGAGAGAGAAGCCCAGGCACGAAAGCTGTGGGCGAGGGTGTCCACGTCGCGCCGACGGCGGACGCCGGTCACGATGGCCGTAGAGGAAGCGGAGGAGGCGAGGGCGGCGAAGTGCCACCTATCGAACAGGCGGCCAAGGCGGTGCCGGTCGGCGGTGTGGCGCCGCTCCAGATACTCCTACAAATAGACCGGCAATGTTTCCACACCAAGTGGACAAACAAAGTATAGGTAAGCAGGCAGCAGCACGCAGAGGTTTGGTCAATGGGTGCATGCAGCACGCAGGCGAGCCTGCGATGTTGGTAGCTATCAGTACGCAACGGCGGCAAGAGTGTTGCCATTAGGGACAGGAAGGAGGTGCGTCTAATTTTTGTAGCGCGGGGTTCTATGTGCGACCGCTAAGCACACGCTGTGCCAAGAACACGACGTTCCCCCTTTCACTCTAGGTGCAGCAACCGCGACCATGAGCTTGGAAAAACGCAATATCGATGTTTGGATGCGGAGAGCTAACGACCAGACAACGCCTGACAAGGCCGCGATCCTCAAAGCGGGATGGCACCTGCGGTGTTAGGATGCACCTGGCCCGGAGCACTCTCCATCCCCGAAAACAACGACGCAGGACAAGTGCTTCGCGCCTCCGGTCCAAATCGCGGTCGCGCCATGCTTCTGTGACCGCGCTACGCCACACGTCTATCACGCGCTTGCAGGATCGTCGCCATCGTTCTGCGCGGAACCTTGTCGAAGGCGGTAGTGGGGAAAGGCTTCGTTAGCCCGCCGTCCGCACTCGCGAGGTACACAAGATGCAATCCCTCATCGTTGCTGCCGGAAAAACGTTCACACGATCTCCATTCAAACTGGCTTGGACCTCATCACGCATGTCGGGCCAAACGATGCTTGCAGCGCACACAACAAGACGCCAAACACAGCTTGGGACAGAGAATCAACAAAGGCAGGGACGAGGACTAGAAGATCTAACAGTCGCCCACCGCAACCTCTCCATCAACAAAACATCGCATCCTACTTTCTGCCGCAAAAGTGATTGCCACGTATCGTAAGAGCGAAGTATGGGAGGACGTTCAGACGAAAACGAAAAAAAAAAAGGTGCTATCCCCGAACCAAACAGACTTGTCACTGGGGTGGTTCAATCGATCTTGGCGCCAGATCCTGCCGTTCCCTCTGACTCGACTACTGCTAACCCAAACCAGGATGCCATAGCATTGCAAAAAAACTTCAGCGACTCCCAATATCCCCGCCTCATTATTTTCATCAGATCCCCGTCCTGTTGCCTGCCATTACCTTCGTTCCAAGGCGGCGAACAGCCTCCACCGGGCAAGACAAAGCCGAGCCGCCTCGACCGCTCTCCTCTGGCGGGCCTCGCGCCCCCCGCGCTCCAAGGCAGCCCCGACGGCCCACGCCGCTAACGCCTCCCTCAAGACCTCTCGCCGTTCGGCCTCGGCCCGCTCCTGCCGCGCGGCGGCTAGCCGCCGCATGCCCTGGCTCCGCCGACAAGCCTCCACGAAGACTTTGAAACCCCACGACAGGGTCGGGAGGAGGAGCGGGGAGGTAACATGGGCCGTGGGGCTCTTGAAACCGTAGCGACCGTAGTCGCCGTCTCCTTCGCCGCCGCAAGGGCCACCCCGTTCAATTCTCCCGCCGTTGCCGGTGTCATCAATGTTGTCGACTACGGTTGCTGCTGCTGCTGCTGCTGCTGCCCCATCACCATTGCCCTCGCCACCCTCGCCATCCCCGACATCGGCAGGCAGTCGCCTGCCGTTTCTTTCTTCCGCTAGAGCCGAATGCATGAGCTCTCCGGTGGAACAAGAGTCCCGGCGAGGTTCGGAACGGGACCCCCGGCGTCGGCGGCGACGGCGAAAGAAAGCGTCCGCAAGTTCCTCTTGCCGTTCCTGCCGCTCCATCTCCTCGGCAACCTCGTCCCGCCTCCACGCGGCTTCGAGCGCGCGTTCCAAGGGTATTACCTCCGCCTCCGCTGCCCTGAAAAATTGATGCACGGCAAGAACGGCTCGACGGTGTTGAACGACATCCCACGAAAATCACTTGTCGCCTCTCTCGAGCGCGAGGCAGAAAACGTTGGTAGAACATGGGATGACGTCCACAGGGTTCCACCAACAACCTCCCATGAGGAAAACGCACTTCAGCTTTACGCACCACACACCGAGGCCCTCGTGCAAAACACCACCCATCCCGTTCCCGGAATTGAGGACGACGGTCCCACCGCCCCCCACTTTGTCAGCCAAACCGCTGGACTCGCACGCGAAAGCTTCAGACATGCAACAGCATGTTCGTCCGGCATGATAACATCTTGCGTTGAGTGCTGCCGCCGAGCAACGGTTTTCTCCGGCCGTCGTCCTTTGTGATTTTACTTTGGATACCGCTTTAAGTTCCCAACCAACAAGATCAGCCTCCCCATAACTGCCACATGCTACTTCTTCGTTTACCCGTTGGCATCGACAGCCGCCCGCAGCGCTCGCTGCACGTCGCTCTTGGCCCGCTCCGCCCTCCGCCGTCGCTCTTCCAATGATTCTAGTTTTTCCCTGTAATCGAAGACACAGAGCCCGGTCGCGAAGAATGTACACAAGCCGGTTGGATGATTGTGGGAAGCGCAGCATCGAAGGCGCTCAGGGGAATGTACAACCTACGAGCCAGGACAACCATCGCTCCAGCCCTCCAGCGTGATCGGTATACGGCTGACCCCGGCGTCAGTCTTAGCAGCCAGAAGTCACTCCCGTGCGCTCCCGCCTTCAGTTGGTTTATAAAAGGATGAGCAACCTTTCGGTACGAAACGACTCGTCACCGCAAACCGTGTGGACGAGAAAGGTACGCACTTCTTGCCACAGGACAACAAGTGCAACCTGTGGACCCCCAATGCAGCATAGAGGTAGTCAACACCAACTACGACGACTTCGTCATTGCTCCACGACTACCCCCTGGCCTCCCCACAATCTCTCAGAAAAATTCCTACTTGTCGTACCTGAGCTCCTCCAGCGACTCCTGCCATGTGACTGCCGCGTTCACCGCAACCCCCTGCCTCGCTCTCTCCTCCCTCAGTCGCCGCAGCGCCGCGTGCAGGCAACCCAGCCTCTCCCTCGCCAAAGCGGCGTTCTCCTTCCCGTTCTCGATGGTCTCTCTCAGAATTCCCGCCAGCCTCAAGGTCGAGCACCTCACCGCCTCTTCGTCGCGGTGGGCCGCCGCCGCCTCCCCGCGAAGCGCCGAGGCTTGCCGGCGCAAGGTGCGAGCGTCAAAGCCGGGGGGCGGCGCCCGCCAGGGGAGCTCGAGCGGCGGTGCCGGTGGCGCCGGTGGCAGTTTTTCCTGCGGGGTAAAACGTGAAGCGGTGCACATTGTGGCGGTGGGAGTGGTGTCATGCCTGAGAAGTGCTCGTCTGCGCCTTCCTCAATGAGAATGCTAGATCTCCGGCCAGCGGCTTCATCGGAATACTGAAGGACAGGAGGTTGAATAGCAAAGCGGGTTGTCGTGCGGACGCCGTTTGACCCCAATGACTGCATCGCTAGTAACCGGAAGATGGGCGGGAACGAGAGAAATTCGCCAAACTCACAACGGGCGTGGGTATTGCCAACGAAGAGCGAGCTGTTGATCTGACGCATCGGGATTATACAGTGTGTTTTCTCCTTTGCTGGCAGTTCGCTCACATCCCGCAACGCAATCGGCTCGAAAGGCCGCAGGGCCTCCAGTTCGAGGCCCTCGAACCCGACCTCCGCCGCCACCGCCTCCGCCACCGCGAACACCTCCGCAACACCTGTCGTAAATCCCTCTCCGGGGAAAGTAGCGTCCCGTCCCCCCGTGCGGGAACGCCGTCCCGGCGAAGTCGTGGGAGACGGCACCTTCAAAGATCGTTGGCACCGGCAGAGGGCGCGGGGCGGCAGAGACTCACATATTTTTTTGTGGCTTCTTTTTTGTGTTGCCTAACGGTTCGTTCCACGCAGCCGTAGTGTTTCGCTACAATTAACATAGGAAGTTGTTGTGGGTGTCAAGTCACGAAATTTCTAGTGAACCAGGCTAAGCTACTCCATGATTCCGCTAGGCGCTGGTGAAAGGTTCGCAGGCACCGGCGCTGTATCTCTCGTTGCTGCAGTCGCGAACATCACCACCACAACAAGCAGGATCACCAACCCTGACAATCCACCTTGCCCCACAACCGTCCACAACAGCTCTCGAGATGTAGAGTTGACGGTGCTAAAAGGAGCAGTGTTGGTATCACAAAATCCTTCGTTGCAAGACAAAAGCTCGGTACCGCTCTGAAAAAAAATCGGACACAATTTTCTCACCAACGGCATGTAGCCCTTCTCCGAGGGGATTGGCGACAGGTGCTGTGGCCCCCATGCACCCCCGTCTGGCCCCCGTGGCCACGCGCGAGCGTCGGGATGACCCTGCACCGCTTGGGTTCTGTGGCGCATGGGGCGGTGCCCCCCCTTCTCCGAGAAGTACTGCCCGGGTCGGAGAGAACGCTCCCACGCTGACCGATTATTATTCAATGTCCAAGAAACCGCGGAAATTGTGCCAGAGCGGAGGTGAACATGTGTGTGTGTGTGTGTGTGTGTGTGTGTGTTTTGTTAATAGTGTCGGCCGCGCTATCCAGCTGGCCAATGAAAAGAAGTCAGTCTCAACGCGGGTGCGAACACAAAAGGTTGTGTGAGTGTGGATTCCTAAAGCTGTCCGTGTCGGCACATCATGGCATCCGACGAGCTTTAGCACACGTCGTGTACGGTCAAGAAGCTTGTCTGGCATGATGGCTTGTCTTGAAAAGTGTGCAGTCAACATTATCTCTTCCGAACCATACCATAAGAACCGGAGAGTTGGCACCACCGTGCGCAAAGAAACTCAAGACACCAGACGATTTTTTAAATTGTCGCGCGGGGATTGGAGACATCGCACGGGGGTGGTTTCGCTGCTTTCTCCGGCACACCTACTGGCGGCGTGGGGTTACATGCTACCCTCAGTGTCTGCAACAAATCTGTGAGCTGCCACAGGTAAACACGGTCGCCCCGGTGGTCTAGTGGGTAGCCTCGCAGCCTGCTAAGGGCCAGGTCATGGGTTCGAGTCCCGGCAGGGAGAGTTTTTTTCTCACTAAATAAATCCTGGTCTAGGATGAAAGCGACGCGCTGCAAAGCTCGTTTGTTAGTAAACCATAATCGACTTCGTAAGTCGCGAGGGAAGGGATTGCTGTACCCTTCTCGCGATAAAAATACCTCAGGCATGAACCGCAGGAGGGGGTCCAACCCCCCCCTCCTATGTGACCCCGGTTGGGTCGTCTAGCCAGTAGAAGTGGAGGATAGGGGCCAGAGGGGCAGACGGCAGAGTCCAATGATGGGAGAGAAACAAACAAAAAAAAAACAAAACAACTTGTTGTCTCTAGTGCTTGTACATTACCGTAGAAAACAATAATGTCGGCGAAGGCATGATACAGTCCGCGCCCGCCTGTGGGAATCCTCTAGTCGAAGGGTTAGGATCCATGCTACGAATGGCCGCAATATTTGGATAACAGAGCCAACAAGCGGTCAAGGTGCCCAAATTCTTAGGTTTTGGGCTTTTCGACCTCAATTTCTCATGTGCTAGCTATTGTCTGGAAGTTGATAGGTGCAGGCGCTATTTAACTGTTCGCCATATCCTAAAGAAAAACTCCGGGGCAGCAGCACGGGTCGTCCTCCAGCGCGGCACTACATACAGTAGAACCGAGAGGTGATTCAGCGCCCCTAAGGAGAGACATCTGGGTGCTGGAGGTGGCGGTGTAGCTGGAACACACATAGGGCACCTCCGCATGGAGACCTCCATATTTTCGTGACGGTGAGCAACCAAGCAAGCTGGAACAAGCGCGTATCTGTTACCCATAGAGCCGACGCTTACCTCTCCAATGCGAGTCCAACGACCACGATCGTACAGGATATTTCATTCGTTTCACGGTGCAACAACGGACGGACAAACGTGGCATCAACGCCAAGGTTGGCACGCAACCAAGGGTCCAACGACCGGTACATCACAATAATTCATGCTCTCTGGCGTGCAGTGCATGTTGGTGAAGCACGAGCGTGCTGCTACGTCCTGCTGTGCAATCAATTAGCTCACGTGACTTCGGTTGTTCACACCTGCAACAGACTCCTTGGTGGGAGGATCGACATCCTCCTTCCAACGAGCACCTCGTAGTCCAGGGGGAGAATGGACTACTGGTGGCGGCTGCCCATGACCCCCGCTGCCTTGCATGCTATCAACGCTCTCGATTCCAGCCACATGTGATCGCTCCTGTGTGTTTTTCCTGTGTGTGTGTGTGTGACCCCCAGGTGAGGTTACCCCGCACAACTTGCCGTTGGGGGCACCGGTGACTGCCGTTTTCGTCCGATATGCTTGTTGTGCAGCTGATCAAATTTGCGCCCCCCCCCGGGTAAACGGCCCGCGGCGAAAATTTGCCAGTACTGGCACAGAAAAAACACGCTCCAGTCGCTCGGTACAGCGACCTAGCCCTACCCACTGCACCACAACCTATTTGGGGGTGCTGGGTTCGGGTAAGGGTTAGGGTTAGTGGCGGGTAAGTCCTAGTGAGGCCTAGCGCCGTGGTGCTGCCTGAGGGCTGGAAACCTGCTGTGGCTTTGGTTTCCTGTCTACCTCCAATCACAACCCAAAAATTGGTGAACTGGCGATTGCAAGAATCTCGCCAGCGCTGGCGTATATACGCATTTCGGGGTGAACGGCGTTTGAACGGTTGAACGGCGTGCGCAATCCGCACGCAGGCAAAGATCGCCATCACGTCGCGTTTTGATGATCGTGGCGTGTGTGCACACAGGACATCTGTACGCCCCACGTTGACAGTCCTCCTGCGACAGCTCAGCGCGCTGATTGTACGTCAGGTGCGGACGCACGAAATTTGAATTTGTCATGTCTCGCCGCTTGAACTCCACACGGCGCAGTGGTAGACAGGAGCAGCAGCAGCCGGAGGAGCAGCAAGGGCCGTTGCAAGGCCGGGTCGAGGAAAACGGTACTCTCGAACCGATGGATGGATTCTCTGAATACGAGATAGAGGTGAGGCTGAAGCACAGTTCAACTCGCCAGTTCGATTTCTTCCTGCTGATACATGTGACCCGGTTGGGTCGTCTATTTAGCTGGTATTTAGAAGTGGAGGATAGGGGCCAGAGGGGCAGACGACAGAGTCCAATGATGCAAAAAAAAAAAAAATGTATCGCAATGGTTGTACAGCAGTACAGCTGTACAGCATACAGCATTCGCAGCATACGGCCGGCGTGCTTGCATGTGTGACACAAAGATGTCACATCCCCTGCACCAGTTTCTAAAGCTCGATTACTTCACAACGAGGGGGATATACTCAAGCAAGATGAAACGAACCGATTTCGGCACCGCCAGTCTCTGTGCTGCGGAGAAAACCACGCTTGATGTTCGGTCAAGGGGGGTGTGGTATCTCGTGTCACGTTCGATCGTACGGTATTCTCTTGGTTCGCGTCAAGCTTTTCCTTCGAAGATTCACCTGTGCCGAGTGTTGCTCTCGCGTTGACTGCTGATTTATTCAGGCAGTGGCAGATGTTGTTCTGTGTCGCATGAGAGTCTTGATGAACACCTTGAGGGAGCCGACGGGTGAGGAGGGTTGTACTCTTGTGTATGTCTTGGACCGATAGTCCCTTCAGGCACGCAGGACTTACCTTCGATGATGCGAATCGTTTGAGAACCCCACTGCTGTTGTGTGTCACGAACCCCAGCGGCGGCGCACGATGGAGCGGAACCACCGCAGGCTGCAAGAACTCGGCCTGGTGGGGAGAGAAACGGTGCGTAGGTTTGGTGCTGTGTTCTCTCATTATCTCTGTAGAACAAGCGGCAGACCTCCATCGACTACTTGCCCTGCGTGAAGGTGTCAGTACGTGTAATGCCATTTTTGTGGGGTCGATTACAAGCCCTTGAAGCGAAACTGGCGATTGCCCGCTTGGGCAGAAAGCGTTGTCGAGAGAGTTGGTGTGCGAACCGCAAGCCCTTGAAATACACGCCCTGAGACTCCTTTGAACGTGTTGTGCCTATCAACCCTGTGCAGGTTGTAATGGTGAGACCCATCGCGAAGCCACCAAGGAGGGGCTCGGGAGCAGCGTCGGCGTCAGGAGCAGCTGCAGCAACTGTTGGTGTGCGAAAGTCCTTGCGTACGCGAAATAAACCTGCCCCCGTCTACACGGTGAGTATCCCACGCCGACTCTACTTCGTTTCCGCATACCGTGTGCCGTTGATGGTCCGTGCACGTCGTCCTGGCGAGAATATGGTTTACACATGCCGCGTGTTTGCTGTGCCTTCCCTTGCGTAGCTTTTTTCTGCCTTCAAGCTGGGGTACCAGCTCCCGAGCTCCCGCGTTGTGTAATTTTGTGGAATCCCCAGTCGCCACATTCACTGGCACTGTATGCCACTGTGTACAAAGAGACGGCATCCCAAAGCGGCTACCCACGGAGGCCGGGAGCAGACCACGATGTACGAGCAGCTCTGACTGGTGCTGTCCTTGTCAAGAGTAGGGGTGCCCTTTCATCCCCTAATGTTCCGCCTGAAACTTGCAGCAGCGAACTGAATAGCACGTTTCGAATTCTTCGACTGTCACCATCTCCACCAGTAGATGTGCCATCATTGTATCTGTCGTTTCAACAGATTTCTACAACGCACTGTCCCCGTTACGCCATCTTGGTGTTGTTCCATTCGTCCACATCCATTCATGGCACACCCTTGCTTCCCCGCTGCTTCCTGCCGGTTTGGTCGTTTGCGAATTTTCGCAGGAACATGCCGTTGGTTTCAACGATGAAGGCGATCGTGGACAAAAGCGACGGAGGCTTTCGCCCGTGAAGGGGCGGCAGGGGTGGGAACAGGCCTCGCTGTCTACTCCGACTGCTGTTCCTCCTACGCCCGCCCGTCGAAGTGCCCCAAAGCCCTTGCCTCCGAATAGCAGCAGGTACTTCTTACTCTCGGCTTAGATATCCAGAAACCGCTAGAGCGCTATACACGGTGCTGTGTAGCTGGATTGTCGCGTTTGGTGCGTGGGGGTATTGCTTCTGCAACACTCGCGACTCAAGAGACAGCGTTAGACTCTACCGCGGTCTGTTCTGTCACGGTTTTGGTTTTTCTGTTCTGGAATGAATTTGACCTCTGTCAAGGGGGGCGAGTTGGGCGTTTGAAAATGTACCCCGAATGGGAGTTGTCACATATTTGCCGCCCTTGAGAATTACGCGTGAGAGCTCAGGCGCGCTGGTAGTTCCCTGCACAGTAAGAATCTTGCCTCCTGTTGCGGGGTGCCTTCCTGATAGCGTACTGGGAATTTCGGTGTCACTTGGTAGGAGCCTAGATTCGCGAACCCTGTGTGCGGATTGAGAACTCATGCACCACTAACCCCAAATTTCTTCTCCCTATGTTTGGGCTTGGTAACATTCGTTCCCCCGTAAACTCCAGTTAGTGACGTATTGGTCAGCAATGTTGACTGTTGTGGAGGGCACACCATGTTATCGTCTTCTATGATCGAGACTTTTCCCGCCCTCTTTTGTTGTTCTCCTCTGCAGGAATCTGGAGTGCAATATCCCGATGCTAATGGAGCGATATCTAGGTAGACAATTCCCTTCTTTCGGCAAAGCCCCTGTCATGGAGCTGTCTACCAAGACGTGCCCTCCGAAATTCAGCAGGTGAGGCGGTTTCCGGTGCCGATAGTCGAAACGGAGTATGCCTGTGAGGTAAGTAACATTATTGTTTTATCTCAACCAACTGGCGGTAGTGCACAAGCGAACAATTCGTAGCGCTATGCACACGCAAACGCACGCGGTATTTTCTCTTGCCAGGCGACGCATATATCTTCCTTGCCAGTTTCGAGTTTCGGACGACCCTTCGTGTTGATCAGATGGTGGCAATATTTCGAGGCAGCACCGTCCTCACGCCCCCTTGTTCTTACTCCCGGTCTTCCCGTGAATTCTCCTGCCTCCAGAATGTCTGGCGTAACGGAGTGGAAAAACGCCGTGTTTCTCTGGGTGAACGTGGACGGGGCAACAGGCTACACGAACCTCTTCGAAGCGGATAAGTTGCCGGAGGCGGCAGACGATGCCGAGAGCACAAAGAACGGCGGTGACATCGCCGATAAGAGCCGGCGAGAAGTGCCGGCGACGGGCAGCAAGAAACCGGTGATCGGAGGGGTTGCCGACAATCAATTACAGCGCGATCAGAAGGCAACGGCCACTGTTGGCGCTGCAACCGCTGCAGCCTGTCGGCGCCCCACATCGCCGCGATCGGTGAAAGCGCCGTCCATACGAGGCGGTAGCGGTATCATGGCTGGAAATGATGACACCGCTGCTGTCGGCAATTTTGCTGGTGATGGCGGGCGTGATGATGTGGTCTGGGGTGATTGTGGTGGTGCCACTTGCGGCCGATCCACGGGGCTCAGGATGACGTGGTTCGCTGGAGGGCGCATGACGGCAGAGTCGGCCCTCATCCAAAGATTGCTGGCCGGAGGAGACCCACCGGAGACTGAGGATCAGCCGAGCAAGGCAGTCGACGCTGACGCTAGTTCTGAAACGACGATGTCGACGAGGGCACCAGCAGCATGTGGTCGAGATTTGGAGCAAAATGGACACGACTCTGGTTCAGCAGTAGCAATGCCAGTCATAAGCGAAGCAGAGGGCGAAATGAACATCGGCACTGCGCACGCACCGTGTCCAAATCCACAAGCCGACGTCGAAGGCTTCGAAGCGAAATCAGCTGAAACCACCGCCGCAGTGGCCGAACATGGTGCACTCCAGGGGGCGATCTTGCGGGCTTCGGCATCTTCCGGTGATGGTGTGGAAGGCGGTGGCGGGAAAAGTTGCGACGTGGTGCTTCTATTTTGCCGACTCCCGAACGAGCCGTACGTGTTCTGCGGACGGCTGGGATATTCGAAGCACTGGGCCGGTGAGCGGCCAGTTCGATTCGTTTGGCGGCTGATAGATGCCGCGGGGTTGACGAAGCAGCCTGACTTCAAAGCCATTTTGGAGGCGGCAGGCATTGGAAGTGCCGACCCGTCGTAGAACCTTAAATGATTAAAGTACGGTGAATGTTATAGCGGAACCCTTCGCGACCATCACTGGAAACGGCGAAGGCAGGGTTGTCCCTGCTGCCATTTGTTGTTCGCCACGTGTGTCCTTCTGCGATACTGCCTCGGAACGTACATCGTTGTATGTACGTTAACCAGCTCCGAACGACCAGCATCTGGATGTTTGCTGTTCGAGCCGCACTTTAGTCAAAGAGATATAGATACGGGCCTCGGTAGATAGGCATTGTTTCGTATGTGTCCTGATTTTGCCAACTAGGTGGCTCAAGTTGTTCGGGTAGAGTTCGTCCTCGTACGTATGGTCATGATGGTCATGGGGCGTGCCCAAGAGGTGGGGGGAATTGGTATCTGTGTTAATTGTCAACACGGTGTGTAATACGAAGTCCCGGGCATAGGAACTCATTCAAGCTTGACGGCAGACACGTGAACCTTTGAGGCGGCTTTTGGTACGTGGACATGATTACTGGTACTATCAAACGCGTCTGATTAGAGCATCCCGCTGTCGTTGAGTACTTCGACGCTCCTTTGCCGTTGAATCTAAGGTCACCGGGAAGGCGCAAGCACCAGTGCTGCGGATATCTGTATCCCGCTGGCCTTCCCTTGAACGAGGCCTCGAGGACATTCGCACACTCACATGAGTCATGCCATGATTGGAGGTACATGAAGTTGTCTTGGATGGAAGAAATTGTGACGAGTACATGAATGGCACAACGCAAACATCACGGCACATGAATATCTATATGTTCACAACAGTATTCAGATCAGCCGGTTCCCATGTTGATTGAGGTAAGGTCCGCTTATTTTTACCGGGATAGGGTGGTCTACTGTACAGAACGCACGATTTCCTGTGCAGAACCATGTACACTACCGGGTACCACACGAAGTACGGATGGGAGGATTCGCATGCACAACATGCTCATCGACGACAATCAACCGTACATTTGGAGTGCAAACACCCAAGAGTGACACCTACATACACTTCGGGGGGCCAGGCGCGGGCCCACTACACGCCATTCAAAGCAACTACTCAAGTTCGAAACAGAGAGAGAAAAGGTGCCCGCAGTTTTCTGATTGGCCATTTTTTTTGAAAGGAAATCTATTGTGTGCAGAAATTCCATGGTCGACCGATGACGTCAGCCACGGTCATGACGTCACCTCTTGAAAAAATTAAAAAAAATCAAATTCGCCGTGGACGACTGATTGGACTGATGATGACGCCAGACTTTCACGGGAATCGCTGACCACACGGACGGATATAGCCAGTCATTCGTTCCCTGGACGGACGCATTTACTCCTGGCTGCTACGATCCACCCTACGCTGGGTGGTGTTGAACCCACCATCCCCGCTCCTCTTGTGATTTTTTTTGTCGCACCCACAAGGCGACGGACGTTCTTTGGAAAAATAAAGAGAGGTACACAGCAGGGACAAATCTCGACGGGAAACATTCGCCACAGGAAACACCGNTAGCCAGTCATTCGTTCCCTGGACGGACGCATTTACTCCTGGCTGCTACGATCCACCCTACGCTGGGTGGTGTTGAACCCACCATCCCCGCTCCTCTTGTGATTTTTTTTGTCGCACCCACAAGGCGACGGACGTTCTTTGGAAAAATAAAGAGAGGTACACAGCAGGGACAAATCTCGACGGGAAACATTCGCCACAGGAAACACCGACACACGCTCACAACTATATCCCCCCTCACATGAAAAGAGGCATATTCTACCCTTATTTTACTTGCGTCTTCACCATACAGGCAGACAGACAGTCACTCATCACCTGACAGATATACTGTCATCAGTCAACGGTGCCACCACCGTGGTTGACGCTTCGGGAAAAAAATATGTTGGCTCATTTGAAAGAGAAAATGGCACGGGCAACCACGGCTGCTGCTGTATCGTCATCACATGCTACCAGCTATCGCTGGTGCTATGTGGAGCAGGTAGACCAGGCCGAGCCCCTCGCAGGCAGGAGCAACGGGTGGCGGTACATGGGGCCTGGAGGGGTCACCTATAGGCGCCAGGCCGTCTTCGGGACGGGATTTAGGATTCGTATCTCCTTCCCTTCCTCGCCTGGGCCGGGACACAGGTGGTTCAACTCGCATCCCCTCGGGGGAGATCCCAACCTGTACAATTTTCAAACTTGGGCGAGGACGGTGCTGCAGAGAGGCATGGTCCACCCGCGTGACGCCGAGGCTTAACGCACAGCGTTTGTAGATGTAGAGGGTGGTGGCCTTGGGCAGCTGGTTGTGTCAGCGGCCGACGATACCTGGCGAGTAATCCTCTGCTGGGCGTCAGCTGGCAGGAGGATCGACGTCGACACCCAGGGCATCCCGATCTCACTTGTGAACCTCCAGGTGCGATCTGGTGTCGACTCACAGAGCCCTTTTTTCAGACAGCTTAACATAGCGACCTTCGGGCACAGAGTTGTGAGATATGCCCCCATCACCGCGTTCGGCAAAAAATGGCAAGAACAGCTCCCAGGAGCCTGTCTCGCTGTCCTCGTCGCCGACGCTTGGCGTGACAGTCAAGTCGACCTGCTAAAAGCACGGGAGAGGAGAAGGTTTGGATTCCGCGATGTAGATCCCACGGGTGCGTTTATGTTCTCATCTCGTGGCGGTCGACCAAAAAAAGGGCGCGCCTGTACAAAACAAGAACGCTCTTGACGGTGGGAACTACTTCCGCAACCTCTATTCGATTCTACTGGAGCGAGACATTGGGGAAGTAGAGTTCGACAAATGGGTTTCGGGGGATACAGAACCACCCGCCTTGACATTACTCCACCTCGAAAAGTGGCTCCATATGACCAAGGCCAGCGTGGTGGTGTGGTCACATCGGGGCACTGGTGCCAATATTCTTGGACCACCCGACGGGAAAACGAACCTCCGACCGCCCACAGTACACGTCGGGGTGCGTGAGGGACACGTGTACCGGCTTGTGCTCGAGGGGCCTTGGAGAGACAGGTTTGGATCGTCTCTAGACGTGGCAATCGAACACCGCGTACGAACGTACCGTAATTCCGCCGAATTTCTGAGATGACCGAGGAAAAAGAGGAACCAGATCCGACTGGTTTTGGCGCCAAGACCTTCTCGTGTGTCGCTGACATTGTGAGTGATATCATGGCCATCAAACAAACAGGGGGGGACCACAGCCGACAACCAGTGGAAAAAAAGCGGAAGCATGGGAGGAAGGTATCAGAATGCAAGACGTGGTACGCGCCTCCAGGAACGGCCCTCGACGAACTCATGCTCCACCTACACCTCGCTGGGGTCTCTTGCAAGGGTAAACTCACGAACTATAGTCGCTGGGATTCACTGTCCTTACCAGCGCACGGCTTAATCATCCGAACCTGGTTCAGCGCGAGCATGGGTGGGCTCGATCCCGATGACTTCGAGCCCGACCAGGCAACACGATTGATCGAGCTGCATAATGCCCTGGGTCTGAAGTTCTGCCGCGGAGTATTGGATTTCCGAGTATCGAGCCAGTACAGCAAGTCTCTGCTCGCCCTCCTTGAGGTGTGCTGGCGGGGGCCGATCGTCGGGGCAGAGGACGCGTCCGGGAGTTCCTACGGGAGGGAAGACTGGCAATGTGACATCAATGGGGCACACACGGCGGCTCTGATGAATATGGAGACAGTGCCCGTTTTCGGCCACATGGATGAGGTGGAGGAGTTCGATGGCCACAACATCGAGGATTGGACGCTATACATAATCAAGCTGGACGCGCTCGGTGAGCCAGACGTATTCCTTAATGCGGATGTGACGCCCCCGTCTTCGGTCGAAACTACAAGCGTTACCTCGACCTCATCGACAACGCGCCTCGCCATTGAGTCACCCACTACGTGGGACCATCCAGAACGGTCAGCAGGTGCCACATACCCAAACTTATGAAAGACCTGCTGACGCATGAGCTGGGTGATCCCCTCCTCGAGGACGCCGACTATGCACGCCGAGTTAAAAAAAGGAATATTCGTGCGGGCCAGTGGTATGTTGCAGCAGAGATACGCGGACAGGATAGATGCCGTCATGTTTACGAGCAGTGACGAGGCTTCAGCTGTGGGTGGAAAAATCGTCCCTGTTCTGTGCGAAGTCGATCGCGTCAAGGCCGAGCTTCGGACGGGACAAGGGGACCTTGGAATCGATTCACTTCGCACCGGTAATGCATACCTTTGTTTCGACGCAGAACGGACCTGGTATAGAGATGGCTTCTGGGCGTTAAGAACCCTCACCCTCGACGAAACTCGATTGCGAGTGTTGGAGGCGAGGAACGCTCTCGAATCATGCGGAGCGTCCGACTTTAGCTACCAGTGTGACGCGGTATTCTTCAGGGGATCTTCGTCGGTACAAGAAAAGATGGTACTCCGCTTCGACCATTTGTTTACCGGCGACGAAAAAACTCCCGGCACTCTCAAGTTTGGACCGGCGTTGAAGAACCCGCTGTGTGGGGAGAGGAGGGTGTGCATCGTGGTGAAGCTATCGCTAGATGCGTTACCCTCGGCAATGAGAAAAATTCCTTGCCCATTCAAGCCCCCGCTTTCAGTGATCCCGCTGTGGGATGGCATCGGCACCAGCTTCCATTCGATGGAAGGCGCGGACGATGCCTGGCGTCGTCTCGGCAAGAACACCAAGCGCGATCTGTGGCCGGAAATATGCGAGGCCGAGTCACCATCGAAACTATAAAGTTTTTCCGCAGCTTGTTGACTCCACAAGGTTCAAGGATCGTCTGTGCTGTGACCGGAGAACATGGAGGGGCCGGGAAAAGTTACTGCACTATCCGCGCTGCTACGGCCACATTCGAAACAGGACTCGTCTTGACCCCCACCAATAGCCTGCGTACGTCCTACACAAATCTGCCATCCGGGTGGAGTGTAAAGACCGCTGACCACCAGCTCGGATTCTACCTGAGTGATGATTCTTACGTGAAGAAGACGGCGGGATCGATACGAACGCTCAAGGTCGACGTAATCATCATCGAAGAAGCTGCCTATATGCCTCTCCGGACCTTAAGCATGATCCTGGCGGCTGCCCATAGCAGCGGTACCCACGTGATCGGGACATACGACACGCATCAACTCCAGCCCGTTTGCGATAGCAGCGGCATGTCGATTAGCAGGGACAACGTCGACAGGAAGGTCATCCTCGAAAAAGCCTTCCCCACATGCTTCCATGTCTTCGCGCGCAAGCGAGACAAAACTATCGAAGACCAGGTGGAGATGGATGACGGCCTCTTGCACATTCTGGCCGCAGGAAACGACAGTGACGAGGCGCAGACTCGAGCTATCGAGAGGTTTGGCGGGGAGCATATCGAAAATACTAGCCCTTCAGATTTTCACCTCGCGTATACAAGAGAATGTGCTCGATTCCACGCTTTTGAGGTTTGCTGGGGTGCACCGAAGCTGGGGACTGGGATGGGCTGGGGGGTTGGTGCGCAATACCGGGACCTCGGGAACCCGGACAAGGTTCACAAGAATCACATGTACAACGTCATCCGATCCTCGGCAGATACTGTCGTCGTCGCGAGTGCATTTGACGATGGTGCTAGTCTTGAGGAAACTTCACTCTGTCGAGCGGAGGCAGAAAACGTTTTTGATCCTCCAGGGTCATGCACAGTACACGCGGTCCAAGGCCGTACCGTGGAAGGGAGGTTGATCATACGTCAGACCGGCACCGTCACGCTGACGTCCACTGGCTGTACACGGCTGTCAGTCGAGCTACCGGACCCTCGAACGTGAGGGTCATCGACGATATTCACCGGAGCGAAAGCGACATGTCCGATCGAGAGAGAGTATCGTGGGTTTCTCGGAAGGCCTCAAGCTACATCTATGCCGACGTTGCGGCTGGACGTATAAAATCTGATGAGGGGGGGCAGCATAGAGAAGCTCTCGTCCAAGAACTCCACCGCTCCTATGGGGGGAGGTGTAACTTGTGCAACCATGAACTTACCTGGACCGTTTATAGCGAACGCCAACCGACTCTTGACCGTCTTGACTGTGCATTGCCCCACACCATCGGAAACGTGGTGGACGTTAAGTGCCTAAAGTGCAACAGAGCAAGAGGAAGCCTAGGGAGAGGGAAGTCGAAAAAGAGGAAGATAAGTTGATTGTGCAGTGGTCGACCGGTAGCTTTTAAGACAAGAAACTCGGGAAATAATAAATGTGGTGTGTATATCAATAATTCAATCATGAAAGATCTTATTTCACAGTGTGCGAGTTGGCTAGAGGATAACAAAGACCCGGTCCATGTACTCGAGGTCTTGAGAAGCCTGTATCCGGGCTCTCTCAACAAAACTGTCCGGCGAGTCAGGCGAGAATGGATGCAAGCATACGGTCCCAGCTATAACGATGGCACCATCAGGAAGGACATTTTGCGTATATTGAAAGTCATACAGAGGAAGGCGTCGTCGCTGGCCAAGAAAACCTCAAGTGAATCAAGGACGAAATACAGCTTGGAACAGCTCAAAATGGCCGAGAAATGTATCGTTTCGTTCGCGAAGTCGGGCTTGTTCGGCAAATGGGCAGCGCGAACTACCGTTCACTCACGGAAGAAGTCCTTCTTTGGGGTCGTCGAAATCGATGACCTCCTGGGAAAGGTAAATATACTTCCACCTTACGTCTCTCAGCTGGAACTCACACCGGAAGAAAAGAGCCTTCCAAGGAAAAGACGTCGAGAAGCCTTGGCAGCGAAGTGCGAGAAGAGCATCAGAGTGAACGCAAGTGATCTTCTCGATCTCATGGTAGCAATCATTAGATATCCTAAAGCACACTACTTCGAATCGGCGTGCGCGTTATCATTTGCCTCGGGGAGGTCGCTGCCAGAACTTATTGGTGCTACTGCTGTCCAATTTTCGCCCAGTAATCACGGCACTCACGAGGTAGATGTCAAGGCTGGTGGAGGAAGCTGTCAGATGCCATTATTATGCGAATACGAACACTTTATGGGGGGTGTCAATCGGTTGCGCGGAATGAAAGATACATCCCGCCTAACGCCCGCCGAGGTAAACCATCGATTTAGTAAATCAGTAAATTTGTACGCCAGGAAATTGCTTCCTGAAGAAGTCGGATTCCGCGTATTCAGCGATTTGAAGACGCTCCACGTCGTGTTTAGTCACAACGTATTCATGGGCCACGAGTTTGATTTGGGTGAATGGGTAAAAGTTGCACGCGGTGGTCCGAGCTCGCCTGCCTTGAATCGCAAGTGTGTGGTTGTGAAAGTAGAAGGGATCAACGACGACAATTTAATGCAGTGGACGATGTGACTTCAATCCACTAGCATCTTCGTCGTCGATGTCCTTCCTTTCTCAGTGACTGTGCAAAGACTGTGACTCGTTGAATTTGTGTTGTGCGCGCACATACTAAATTTTCACGCAATTTTCACCAAAATTTCATTTTCCACACAGTTTTCACACAATCTTCACCGAATTTCAAATTTTCTCACAGTCTTCACGCAATGTTTACCGATATCTTGTGTATGAAACAATACGTCCAAACAGGTTCTATTGACTGAGACTCCCACCCCGGGAGAAAAACCTTACTTTTCTCTACTTTGATCGGGGCTTTGTGTTGCACAAACACACAGTTTTCACACGAACACACACACATAGAAGGAGGATTCCCAAAACCAGAACAACAGCTTTTGGGCTACCCCCGGTAGAGCTAGTGCACACTGCATCTACCGACCTAAAATCTGCGCAATGGAAAAATTGATGACATGATATGTTTCAAACTCTCTCTCTCTCTGTCTCTCTGTCTCTCTCTCTCTCTCTCTCTCTCTCTCTCTCTCTCTCTC